CAGTCTGTTCCAGGAGATGACGGAACAGTTCGGCCATCAGATTCTGGATCTCTTTGCATCTCCGAAGAATTCACAGCTCCCGAGGTTCTTTGCATGTTTCCCAGCACTGGGAGCAGAAGTGGGTCAACGCTGTCCGGTGCAGGTCTCCCCAAGGGCTATCGTATGCCTTCCCCCCTTCCCCTGATTCTGGGGACAATCAGAAAGGTACTGACAGAAAGGGCAGAGGCACCCATGGTTTGCTGACCTGTTGGGTCTGTCGATCCCCAGACCCTGGAGAATTCCCCTGTACAGGATCTCCCTTAGCCAAGGCCCGAGAAGGGGCGTTGGTCCTACTTGAACGCTTCTTCTCAGGGAGCCAAAGGGAGAATCCAGTCCCACCCTGTATGCTGTCTGGTCAGAATAGGGAGGAAATGTTTTTTTCTCGCAGTATCAAATAGGCTATCTGTTAGAGGATGAGGAGCAGCTGGATTCGCTTCGGCATCGTTCAGAACTGGGGATTGTTACCGGGAGGGTGTCCTCAGTTTTTCAACTCGGTCTGCATAGCTATGAGACTAGAGACTACCTATCCTGGATTCTCTCTTTGACTCCCTGAAAAGAAGCGTTCAGGTAGGACCAACGCCCCTTTTCTACTTTCTGAAATCAAAGTCACGTGGATCCCATAGCTACCAGTGCAGTCTTCTTCTTTATGTTGCAACTCTTTACCTCAATATTAAACTTTGTTCCCTGGTTCTGCATGTTTCTCTTTCTTCCCTTTTGTTATGTTCCCTGGCCCTTCTGTTGAACAATGCTTCAGTTATACCCACTGGCCAATAATGCATAATCACTTTGCAGTGTTCTCCCAAAATTCTTTACTTAAAGATCAATATATTAGTTTCACATATCCCCAGCTTAATTCTCTCTAGTAGCCCTGCAATCAAAATATACAAACTAATAATTTTAATTTTTATTGCTGCAAATTGCCAAAAGTCTTGCTTTCCTTAGCAACTGTAACCATAATCTTTGTTGGCAGTAAAGCCCCTTTATATTGTAGTTTATTATATAAAGCCCCTTTATATTGGGTCTAATTAGATACACTTTTGCCTTACATTTTATTCAGTGATAATCCTTATGCAATTCATAATTCTAAACATCGCCCATTTTGCATTTTATGCCACCCAAGAGAATAATACATGTTTTCAAACTTTTACCTTTTCTTTTAATGCCAGCTCTTAATTCTTAATTATTATCTACTACAGTTACAGATAACAGCAAATTTTAATGTAGATTAGTATTTGAAAACCAGAGAGAGAGAGTCTTAATGGTTGAACCACAAGTAGAAAGCTATTTGGTTGAAGGCATGCAGAATGGAAGCTGAACCATAATCTAGCATGACCACAAGCTAATGTCCAAATTTTTGAGTTGGCGTTGTCAGAAATCTAACTGAAATTTAAATCGTATGAGCTGATTTTGTCAAACCTTGTTTTGGTTTAAAACAAATGCATTTGTTAATACTATTTTGAGAAGAAATATTCTAGTTAAGAACCTTAATGTTATGCTGAACTATATTTCTAAAATATGGACTTTTGTCATCTTAAAATATGATTTTATATCATCTGAAAGAAACCTACCTTCCTTATTTTAAGAAATGGATCCAGTATTTTAGTTTATTAATTATCTTTGAAAAGTGAAGCAACATTTTCTATACTCTACATTTAATAATAAGCTTACAGACTAAATTAATTTATATTACTATTAATAGTTATTATAAAGGTATTTTCTCTTTCCCTTCATTAATTGCTTTTATTTTTTATCTTGTTTATTTTAAGCACCGTAATAGTATACTTAGGTTCACTTTGTTCATCATTTATCTATTTCTCCCCTGCTGGTGTTATAGTTTTATTGTATTTCACTATTAACTTTTTAAAGTTAAAAAATAGGCATCAAACTCATTTTTGATAATTAGTTCCTGGGGCATGAGGCTACTGATAATATTTTATTAATATTGTGAATATGCTTTAGCTGGCATTTAATATGCATTTTCTCTTCAAGCCATCAAGATAGTATGGAACAAATGTTTAGATGTTATTATCAACTTGTTTTGTTTTTGTTTTTCCCTTTTCTGAGCAAATTTGTCCCTTTTGCCTCCTCTCTGTGAGGGAAATGGGCAGTTTCCAAATTTGTTAAATAAATCAAATATAAAATTAGGGTGGTTTGACAATCCAATATAGCGGTAAGATGTTTTTGATAACTGGTTATATTTTTTGTACTTGATCTAGGAATGAATTAATATTTCTTCCCGTGCACACTGAACCGTTGTACAGAAAAAGTTAACCCACTGTTTATAGGAAGACAGTTAATTATGTTTACTGACAGCTTAATTGTTGACAATTAACTTTTGCATTGTAAGCTGCCTTTTATATAATTGCTGCGCAATATGTCTAGCAGAATTAGACCAAAAGCCTCTCTAGTCTGTTATTTTGTGTCCCATAATGGGCAAACATAGGAATTCAGAAAAGTCATAAACAAGGGCCAGCAGTAACAACCTTCTACACCAATTAAGCCCAAATTGGTCATAATTGTATTGTATTTCTATATTGAAAAAATAGTAGATCAACAAATTAATCATTGGTTAGATAGTGTACAGATATATGTCAAATTGTATATGATTAGAATCTGTATTTTGCTTAATGATGGCAAAAAAACTAAAAAATTATTTCTACTAAGATGCCCTCATAGGTCTTTAACAGAAACTGGCAAAATTAAGTAGCATATTTCTAGAAGACGATACTTAGTCTTGTACTAGTATTAAAATAGAAATGCTCTGGATACTTTCCCTACATTTATTGAAATATGCATCCTTTTTCTTCAGCAATTTGTCTTGAAATTCTAGCACTATACAATGAAACATTAACTCTGTTAAGCAGCCGGGAATGGAATTTTTGCAGTCTGGTAGCAATTTACTGATAGACCCAACTTAAAGTACTAAGCTTGCCAGGTATCACGATATAAATTCTGCTATTAAAAATAGTTAAACAGGCTCAAGTATATTAAATAATTATAGGTTAAATAATTACATAATTAAATATTATAATTATTTTATACAATAAAATATAATTAAGATACCAGGTGACATTCAGACATCATACCTCTTGAATATATAAAAATCCAAATAAGAATAGTGTCATCAATATGAGAATTTTTATTTCATTTTTCTTATACTGACTATCTTTAAATCAAAGGAATGAAAATATGGCTTTTAAGACTAAGTTAAGATTGCACTATAGCCAATTTAAAGGAGGCAAAATAATATATATTTAATAATTAGGAGATATTCTAAAATATTTTAAATAGTAAGCTTTACTTGTGTTTATTTTCTGTAACAAAATATAAAATTTAAAAATTGAAGAAAAATTAAAAGGTTGGCATGGAGTATGATGTTTTGCCACCCCACAGCCCAACAGATTGTGGCATAGAAATCATCCCAGGGTCTAAGTTGCCAAAGCCCAAGATGTATTCTATGACTCCTATGACGACATGGAGGCACCTCTTAGAAAGTGGATAATTACATTTTGAAGTCTGAACCAATCATAAGCTTGGACCGATCATTCTCCCTGAATAAACAGGTGTGGCTATTCATGACCTGGCTGATTCAATGAATCCCCGTCACCCGTCAGGTTATTTGGTGGAATTTTGTGATGGCTCGGGGTGCCCTCATATCCGAGCTCCACACCCAGGAAGGTGGGCAGGGCTATGTCACATTCAATGATTAAAGGTGGTGGATAACTTGGGGAATTAGCCCTGACTTTAATCGTGGCTAGATTGTTCTAGCTGCTGGTCAGTGAAGTGCCGGCGCAAGTTCAGGAGACGATAAACGGCTTACATCAAATCTGTTGTGGCAGTTCTGGTGTCTTTTGTTCGTGCAGCAGAACATTATATAGATATTATATTACAGTGTAATATTTCTCATACTGATATTATAGTAACTTTATTTATATGAAATCTATTTAATCTCTGTGGAGATTTGCTTATTGATTTGACGAAAAGACATACACTTAACTGTACCCTATAAATTATCTCAATACATCCTAATATTATGAAAGAAGCTAAAGTAATGAATTGTCTTTTGAATTTCAAAACACACTGAGCATTTGAAAATTAACTGGTAATCAGAATAGTACAATATTGGAATATCGACACCATTTACTGTAGTAAGAAATAGGCAGATTTTGTTGACAACTGATACTATTCTAATGGAAATGAAAACCAAGTGGAAGGCACAAACTATGCTAGGGTGCATCTCAGAGAAATAATTGACATTAATCAGGCAATGACTAATTAAATAAGATAATTGAAATAAAAACCTGGCCATTTTCTGCTAATTGGTTTCATACATCGACTGCTAATTAACCTCTTGAAAGAGTAAGCCACAACCGTACATTAGCATGTGTGTCTGTCTAGATTGTTGTAGGCATAAAACAGACTTGTAAATAAAGCTGTGGAACTCGTAACGTAAACTTTTCAGCACAGTTTACCTTTATGCAACTCTGTTGAAAAGAAAACCAGCTGGGAAAAGAAACCATAAAACAAAGATACATGTTATTTAGAGGACTTAAATTTCAGATGGTGTGGATTGGGCTGTTACATATACTACTTTTTTTCTAAGTCCAACATTTTTCTTTAAAGAAATAACATAGAGAAAGACAAGTAGGTATGAAAGCAGCTGCCATTTTATTTATGAGAATGACATCCAGACACAGTAACAGATTCTTTTCAAAGCCAATTTTGACCCCTAGACACTTTCTTCCAGGTCTGGGTTATTTCTGGTATGGGATCCAGGCTAAGACATTTGATTGATGGACCATAAATTATAAGTTGGTGAAAGCTACATCCCTTACTGCATTTTTATATCAAAATTCTTCATTTCTACAGGGATAGGAAAGACACTTAAAAAAATAAAATTGCCACATGATATAAAATTGGTAATAAGTCATACAAATGTTAGCCATTCTTGATATATTATAATACACATTATTCCTTTTCATTAATTTGCATAAGCTCCAACAGCAGTCAAGATAGAGAAATGGTTGTAACTGTTCCTGGTTTCAGATATTTTGGCAATTGCTTATGTTCTTTCTATGATTTGAATCACTTGTCCAGATGTTGCTCCAAAATACTCCTCTTACTTGTTTTAGGGCAGAATTATCTGTTTTCCCACTTATCACAAAGAAATTATAATATGAATCAATATTTGTATATCAATGGCATCATGTATCCTGATTGAAATGAGAACTTCTTTTAAACTGGATGTTCATCAGACTATATATCAATGCAGCACGGTCTCACTGTTTTATTATTCTTAGTTCCAAGCATGTTAAATTATAAGGCTTGTGACACTTTATATTTCACCCAAATCCATATTTTTGTTCATAATCTGAAATAACAATGAAAATGTAATCAGAAAGTATTGTTTGAATGAGATCAAAATGTGAAAATGAATCTAAATTGCTTTTGATACATTTTGCTTTTATTTTTTCTTTATTAGAATAATTACCCTCAGCATTTGAAAAATTTCTCACTGCATAAATATTTAATACAAATAACTATCACTGAAAACATACTCTGAAAAAATAAACAATTTTAGATTCACTAGATGCAGTTATCACTTCAAAAAAATTTTTTTTCCTAGACAAAAATGTTTGTGAAGGATCTTTCCATATTCATTTATTTTATTACATTTCACATCCTAGATTTTATTCTTCTTAAGTGAGACCAATCTTATTAGTCATAGTCATAAGTACTGTGTCATAAGTAACAATCATATATAACATGGGAAAGAAAATTTCTCTATAGAGAAACAGGGAAAAAATATTATTCCAGTTTCTCAACCATAGGGAAAATTATCTCTAATTTAATCTGCACCAGCCAGATAATTTGAGTGTTCATACAAAAACAATCAGTTTATAGTATTCTAAAGAACAGTGTAAAATCAATGGAAAGTTACAAAATATGAGGCATATAATAAAAAAAGCAACAAACTCAGATTACCTTTTAGAAAATCCATACTCCCATTTTAGATATAGATGATGTCTGTTGAGAAAAGGTTGTTCAATTTTGATGTTGATGGCACCTTGTTCAGTGAAAGTCAGTGAGGGGTCAAAGAGATCATCTATGTCAAAATTGAACAGCCCTCTCTCAACAGAAGAGGAGGGATACGACATCATCTATCTCCAGTCTGCAACATAGTTCTTTCAACAATTCCAAGAAGGATCCACACCCCTTTGCACTACTCAGGTGATCCTGACTACGCAGGTAACCCAGATAAACCTCCAGGGGGCCTCAACAGCTCTCTAAAAGAATGCAAATGACGAGCAGTCTGCAAGGAGTATAAATTCTTCCATTTCCCACCATCCAGAGCTGAAGAATCAAGAATCACAGCTGAAGAAGCTTCTTGGATAAGAAGTGAAAAGTCTTCAAAGAAAAACAAGGAAGTCCAGTTGCCTCTTGAAAAAGCTCCTTTGGGACATTTCTGGCCTTTTGAAAGAGTTTGAATAGCTGGCTTTTCCAATTGGCATGAAAAGGTGGCTGATAGACTGAGATAAGACTCTGCCTCCATTCCGTGTACCTTCTCCATTCCGCTCCATTCTGCTCCATTCCTTCCCTTCTTTGATGATTTTTAATCATGTTTAATGTTAATATTTATTTTAATGTTTTATCTTATTGTTTTTACTTAGTTGTAAGCTGCCTAGAGTTGCCCCTTGTGGAGATGAATGGCATAAAAATTTAATAAATAAATAAATAAATGACATCCTTATATTTTACCTCTTTAATCAGCACCTGAAGTTTCTTCCAAATTGGCTTTTGCATAACTCAAAGGCAGATGGAGACCCACAACTGGGCCAACAACACTCAGCCACGAAATAATATAGTTCGTATGCCTACAAAAAATAAAATAAAATGCACATTACTATTTAGGGGAAGGGTAATGAAATATTCCAAGTATCTTTGAAAATTGGGCACTATTTTTATTAAAATATTATAACATACAGCTTATAAGAAAGAACATTTTGTAAAACAATTTACATTATTGGCAATTCTAACCTTCCAGTATAGTGTATTTTGAGACAGACACAGTTGTTAGACATCTCTAATTTTTTTTTTTTAATTTATTTAATTTATTTGATTTGTCAATTGCTTGCAAGATAATAGGTATAAGTATATACATAGTTATGAATACATGAAATGGATACATGTAAGAAAAATAAAAGAAACAATAGGACAGGGACGGTAGGCACATTGGTGCGCTTATGCACACCCCCTACAGACCACTTAGGAAAGGGGTGAGGTCAATAGTAGACAGTCTAAGGTTAAAGTTTTTGGGGTTTGGGGAAGAAACTACAGAGTCAGGTAGAGTATTCCAGACATTGACCACTCTGTTGCTGAAGTCGTATTTCCTGCAATCAAGTTTGGTGCGGTTAACCTTGAGTTTGTATCTATTGTGTGCTCTTGTGTTGTTATGGTTGAAGCTGAAGTATTCATTGACAGGTAGGACATTGCAATGTATGATTTTATATGCCATACTTAGATCAGACCGAAGACGGCGTAATTCAAGGTTTTCTAGGTCTAGAATTTCAAGTCTGCTGGCATAAGGTATTCTACAACGAGTAGAGGAAAACTCTTCTTGTGAAATATTTCTGGAGTTTCTCAACTGTGCTAATATCAGATATGTAATGTGGGTTCCAGACTGATGAGATTTATTCAAGTATTGGTCTAGCAAATGTTTTGTATGCTCTAGTTAGTAGTGTGATATTACCAGAGAAAAAGCTACGTAGGATTAGGCAAACAACTCTTAATGCCTTTTTGGCTATGTAGTTACAGTGGGCTCTAGCACTCAGATCATTAGAGATGAGTATTCCAAAGTCCTTTACAGAGTTTGGATCATCAGCAAGATCTTGACTATTTAGCTTGTATTTTATTTTCTGATTTTTTTTTGCCAATATGTAAGACAGAGCATTTATTTGTTGAGATTTGAAGTTGCCATTTGTTTGACCATTCTGATACATAGTCAAGATCTTTTTGAAGGGTAGCAGTATTGTCTGTGGTATTGAACAGCTTTACATCATCAGCGAAAAGAACACAGTTGCTCTTAATATGATCACAGAGGTCATTTATGTAGAGTATGAAGAGAGTTGGTCCTAGAACACTGCCTTGGGGGAGACCACTACTGACAGGTACAGAATTTGATAGGAGACTCCCAATTTTGACCATTTGTTGTCTGTTTGACAGGAATGCTTCTATCCAGTTATGCAGTTGTCCAGAGATACCATAAGATTTTAATTTTAAGATTAGTTTGTCGTGTACCACTGAATCAAAGGCCTTACAGAAGTCTATGTAGATTGCATCTATTGCTTTGCCCTGATCGAGTTGTGTAGTCCATATGTTTCTGCAGTGTAAGAGTTGCAGATTACAGGATAGTTTTTTCCTGAAACCAAATTGTTTATTGGAGAGTAGGTTGTTTGTCTCTAAGTGGAGGATAATGGATTGGTTAATAATTGATTCCATGACTTTAGAGGTGACGCAGCATAAGGAGATTGGCCTGTAATTTTCAACTAGGCTGGGGTCTCCCTTTTTGAAGATGGGGATGACCGTGGCTTTTGACCATAGGTTAGGCAAGGAGCTGGTCCTGAAAGATTTTTCAAACATTATGCTTAGAGGTTCAGCTATGGCAGTGGATAGCTTTTTAAAGAAGTAGGCACATATTCCGGTCCAATAGATAGAGATGGTTTTAGATTGCGTAGTGCTTTTTCAACACTGTCTTCTGTAAAATCAATATGTATTAGATCATTGTAGTTGTCTGTGGTTTGGCTAGGAAATACTGGGCATGATCCATTGCTGTTTACAAATACTGAGCCGAAGAATGTGTTAAAGATGTTGGCTTTAATGGTGTCGTCGTTGCAGTCTTTACCATTAGGTCCTATCAGGGGTGGGATGGACCTTGAGTCTTTGAGTTTGTTGTTTACAAAATTGTAAAAAGCATGGGTGGAATTGGTGCATAGAAGGTTTTCCTCTTGTTTAATGTGATCATTGGTGCATTCAGTCTTTATCTGGTGGCATAAATTTTTGTATCGGCTTTTGAAATTGGCAACGTGACCAGATTTGTATTTCTGCCAGAGTGATCTCTTTTTGGATTGAAGTTTCCTTATTGTTATGGGTAATCTGTTTGTTTGTTTTTTGCTTTGGGAGTTGTTGTTGGTACATATAGTTTGATGACTCTTTTGACTTCAAGTAAAAATATGTTGTAATGGTCTTCAACAGTATTGCATCCAGTGAATAGAGATTGCCAATCAAGGGATGAGAGATCGTTGTCTATAAGATCATAGTTGCCTTTTTTGAAGTTATAATTGGGGATTACGTCATTGTGATTTTTGTGTGGGCATATGTTGAGACAAAAGTCAATCATATTGTGGTCACTGCTGGAAAAGGATTCTTTAGTTTGTATTCCATGAATTAAATTCAAACTATTGCAGAAGATGAGATTGAAGCAGTTGTTTAGTCTAGTGTTGTTGGTTACTAGTTGTTCCAGTCCCAGATTTGTAACAGCATTATAGAAGATTGCGTGTATGGGTTCAGTTGTACATTCATTTAGGGTCCAGTCAATATGAGGTAGATTGAAGTCACCAAGAAAGATAAAAGCCTGTGGGCAGGATGCTGCCCATGTTAGTAGTGTATTTAGCTTGTTTACATGTTCGATGTCAAAATCAGGTGCTCTGTAACATAGTAAGAATCAAAATGTGATATTTAAGGATAGTTCACAGATGATGGTCTCAGGAAGAGCAAGCTCCTGGGTAACTTGGATGTTTTTTAGATGTAAGGACGTTTTATAGAAGATAGCAATACCACCTCCTCTACGAATTTCACGATCTGATCGGTAAACATGATAGTCTCTTACTGTGGTAATGGAGTCAGGGAGAGAAGCATTGAGCCATGTTTCACGGACAAATCTGATGTCGAATTTAGCCATATTTAGTAAGAGGAGAAATTCAGGTATTTTATTCGCAAGTCTTCTTACATTGAGTAGCTTGCATTTAAGGCCAGCAGTAGTTGGAATTGAAGTAGTTAGGGGCGTGCGTGCCTAGTCTTGGGTGATGGTGGATTGGTTGAGGTAGGGTTGTGGTTGAACGTTAAAGCTGAGTTGCGGGTTGTGGGACTTACTTTTGATACAGTCAGCATGGTAGTCAATGTACAGGTAGTCAATGTACAGGTCCTTCTCTCCATTGTCTACACGTTTTTTGAATTCAGTGCAGAGTACACGGGAGCTGTATGCTGTATGGTTAGGTCAGGGCGACAACGGAGGTTCTTATGGTTGGTGTTGGTTTTGGCGAGTGAATTTATAGTGTAAATGAATTTACGTTTGCTTGATTCATTTTTGCAAATGCCCCTGCAGAAGCGTGGGGCCACAGAGCCGCCTCTGTTTTTGAGTTCTCGGCCAATGCGGGAAATGTCAAGTATTTCATCAGGGGAGATGGTTGATGCTTGATAATCACTGATGATGTTTCGGACTGTTGTGATGTCATCATTATCATTGATGTCCTCTAGACCAAATAAGTGTTTGGACGTTTCCATTCACGCTCAACAGTTTCTCTGATGAGGATTGGGATATCATTATTTGTCTGGCTTATGTTTTTTTGTGGATTGGGTTGTGGATTGGGTTGTGGCTGTTGGATAGAAATGTGGTTTGTAGCTATTGGATGTTCAGGTTTTTGCGTTGTGTCTTTTTTTTCAAGGTTGGATAATCTTTCTTTTAAGGTGTCCAGGGATGCTACTATGGTGTCAAGGGATGTTATTCGTGTTTCAATGGTATCAACTCTTTCCAACAGATCCAGTTTGGGTCTGCATGATTTGCAGAGATATGGAAACTCATTGGATGATTCTAGGTATTGAATCATTTGCTCGGGTAATCCCAAGCAGTCATGATGAGCGTATTTGTTACATAGAGAACATTTGATGGAGTTTTCATTATCCTTTAGAGTTTTGTAGCATTTAAGGCATGTGCAGGAGTCTTGTGGTTCATTGGTGGGGATTACTTTCTCTTTAGGTTGTGGTTTGGCATTGGATTTTTTTTCTTGGCATGGTAGGTTTGTTAAGATGGTTCGTTGATTAAATTAATTAATGGAACAATTTTGGGCAATCAATATAGCCAATATCACACCAATCAATCAATTGCAGTAATCTCTCTAGTCAAATAATTTTCCTAAGCAACAATCAGCCTAATCAATTAATTACACTAATCGCTAATCAATTAATTACACTAATCATTAATCACACTGTTCAATTAAATTCACTAAATCATTGATTTTACTAATCAATTAAATTACATGAATCTTGATCTTTTAAACTAATCAGTAATCACGCTATTTGCACTAAACACTCTAATCACACTAATCAATTAAAACAATAAATCAATTAAACCATTAATTGATGTTAATGAAATATTAATGAAATATTTTATAGAAATTGATTATCTAATCATTGATAAAGGTGATGAGGTAGAAAAGTTGTAAGTTTTGAGATAATGAATTAATCAGTGTTTGATTAAAGTAATAAGGTAGTATTGAGAGTCTGCAAGGAAAGGGTTAATTGTTTTACAAGCAGCTGTGATTTACTGGGTTGGAGGAATTTATTGGTCTGATTGCTGCTGCTATTACTCTGTAAACAATAGGCTGTAACAAGATGTTCAAAGCACGCTGGATTTTTGAAAGAGAGCAAAACTAGCTGAATTAAAACACTTTAACTACAATCAATATGTCTCTGAATAAGATTGTTTTCCAATAGTTTCCTAAAGTTCTTCAAGTTGAGTAGTAGTAAAAATACAGTCCAGAAATGTGGGTTAACCAATCCAATCTGTCCTTTACTTTTAAAGTTACTTCTAGTTGCAACATCTTTTTTTTTTAACTAAATCTGACAGTCACTGCAGATCGTTAATCGCAGCTATTTTCCTCCTTTGAGTCCCACTTTCCAAGGAAAATTCCACTGCAGAAATTGGAGTGATTCTTACCAAGACTAAGCACGCTGTTACAAGATCTTTCCTTTCTTTTTCACTTCTGTCTCAGCTGCCTTCCTATTCTTTTAGTTGGTGATTGTGAAATTGTTTCATTACAATTGTTTATATTTTTAAATTAAGTATAAGAAGACAATCCAACCTGGGTATTTTTTTTCTCTAAAAAATCCTGTTTTAAATAAGAAAAGCTGCAAAAATTATAAATGAAATACAACAGATCTGAAACATATTGGAACCTATAATGAAATAAAAGCAAAAAGTCACATTTAACTGAAAGCTCTTTTAGAAAGAAATGTTGGAAAGAGTGTTTAAAGCCCATAGAACTGGACTTTGATGAATTTTAAAAAACATCAAGTTATTTGTAAAGTAACCCAAGTAAATGGTCGACCGGACACTGATCTGAGAGTATAGCTTATTTTCTTCTCACATTTCTCTATTTCAGGTATTCAATTGAATTTTTTAGTGTTTGAGAAATATGAGAAAGCTCAAATTCTCAACTCTGTACAGCAGTAGGACTGAACTGCTACCCGGAAAAATAACAAAGAGGGGAATTGTAGTTGGTGGCTCCCTACTATCAGAACCAGATTATAGTCAAACACATCTTTTGAACCTAAGAAAACAGACTTTAATCAATACAAAGGAATAATAGGTGGCAGACAAAGAAAATGGGAAGATGCTCAAAACCCAACTGTAACTAAATTTAACAAAGAAAAAGAAAAACAGCAAAAGCCAATGTAGCCACATAAAACTGTTAGTGACAATCTGGAAAAAGAAGACATATATGGCAGATAAGGATATTAAGTGAGGTCACCAAGGAAGAATGTGTACTAGTATTCTAGATTTGTAGAAATAATGCCGAGGAAAGATAAATCAGCATGTCTTAAACCAGCAAAGAAAAAGAAAGCAAAAATCAAGCTGCTCAAATTAAAACGCAAGAAAAAAAAAACACTATCTAGTTAGTGCTTAACTTACAATCATTCATTCAGCAACTGTTTGAAGTTATGATGGTGGAACTATTTGAATTATGAACTATAAGAATTATATACTCATTATAACAATAAGTTTAGGAATTAGTACCTTATTTTACCTGTTTTTTTCTCCCAAGCTATAGAAAACATGTATGGTTTTTAAGCAATAGTTCATTACTAAAAATACACTATTGAATATTTTCATGAAATATTTAAGGTTGGGTTTGAGAATGTACAGTGGTATTACTCACTTGTTTTGTTTATGTAAATTGGATAATATTGAAGACATAAATTCATTTGTCCGGCAGGGATGAAGTTCAAAGAAAGGCTGACCAAGTAATGGATGTTCCTGAAAAGAAGTGATCTGGTTAACTGTGTAAATGAATTTTTAGTATACAAAATTGTTAATAGTTCCCATAGTAATTGTCCCATAATAATTTTTTAAAATATTTTTCAATGAATGGAAGTGCAATGAAATTTAATTATCCAAGATCATTAATAACAGGTATCCCCAGCCCTGGACTGCAGCCTGTTCACAACCGGGCTGCGCGAGTGGTGGGCAAGAGCGTGTATGCAACTCTATTTGCATGAATTGCAGGCACTTGTGTTAGTGGCAGGCACGTGTGTTAGTGGCAGGCACGTGTGCAAGCCATGGGCACTTGCGCTCATGTGCGAAGCTCCATTTGTGCAAGTATGCCTACCATTCGCACGGAACCACCACCCCTTGTGCACGGAAACTGTTGGGCTGCCAAGCTGGAAAGGTTGGGCAGTGTGATCTAATAATCCTGAAACATGAATCCTAGAGTTCTGAACCTATTTTGAATAAACTATCTTTATTTATTTAACTACAAAAGTATCAACATAATAAAATAACAAATCTAAATAATTATAACTGCACACAAGTTGGAATTATAATGACAACATTCATACAATACAGCATTTACCATTAAATATATCATCTAAATATTATGCTTAAAACATTAGTCAAATGAAAAAGTTATTTAGTATTTGTATATTAAAGATGTTTAACAAGATTATAAGCTCATGGTAAATTCCAAATACACAACATTCTAAATCATTTTTAAAAAATATCACACAAGAAAGTAATGCCAGTACAGGAGCTGGGTAGGATATGCATAAAATGTTAAAATAAAAATAATCATAAAAATAATTTCCAAGGTACGTTTTTTCCTTCTCTTTGTATTAGGAAAAGGATTTGCAGACATGAATACATTTAACTCTGAATCTAAGTGATTTACTGTTCTTTTTCAGGCCAGACCTACTGCTAAGTGCTAAACTAATATTGGTGTTATTGAAACTGTATTAGTCATAATTGGCCTTGGCAATCAAAATTTATATTTGGCTCATAAACATTTTGATTATGTTCCTGTAGTTTGGTAGCACTAACAAAATTAACTTTGCTACTTTGTCACAACTCCTTTTCACATATGTTTTTAAACTGGACCCCCAAAAAGCATATCAATGAGAAATATAATGTAACTGAGTAATGAGAATAAAAAATATAAATGTGATCATATATTTAAGATGAATTTAGCATATTTAAGGTAATCTTAGCAATACGTAGGATTACTATTTTTACATTTACAAGCTTACATCAGCATCAGACTATTGCATGTTCTTTTTCTACATATCAAACGCTCTTTTATTTTTTGAGATATAAATACAATCATTTTCATATCTGTCTTACGCTATCTGGAAATGGTCAGCATATGATTTTCTAGATATTCATGAATTTCAACTCTCATCAAATATAGTCAACTTGGCTAGAAATTAAAATTTTCTTATCCTATAGTTATATTTAAACTCTGAAACACTGAAAGATTTTGGAAACTAACAAGTCAGTCAGTGAGACAAATTTATCAACTTTAATTTTGTGCAAAATATAATGTAAAAATGAATTTATAAAGATATGCAATATAGTGCAAAAATATACACTGAAACTATAACCAAATTGAAGAAGATAGAAGAATATTAAATATGTTTTAGGTTCCTTTTATTTTTATCCTGTAGATCCCAACTATAAATTCATGCAAAGATACTACCATCTGTTACTCATATAAATGAACTGATGTCATTTTTCATTATGAAATAAGTGCCAAACTGAAAAGAAAAAAAACCTTACTATTGCATCAGAAAAGCTTAAAAAACTTGTTGCAAAGACAGATTTCTGGAAAAGAACCAGTCTTGAAACTGGCAATACAATTTTCATTATCAAAATTATATCCATTATCTATTATTAATTCTGTATTATCAAATGAATGTGAACTTGTAGTGAAAAAAATAGAGACAATTTTTCTAGTTTGAAATATCCCCAAACTGACCCTTCAGGACTTCTAAAGATACACATACTGCCATAGTAATAAAGTTCATCCATCTTGATGCTGGTTGTTTTCCCTTTTTTTCCCCACTTCCAATAATGATAGTTTTCTCTAGAGAGATAGGCCTTTTCATATTGTACCTAAATCATGATAATTTGTCCCTGATCATTTGTGCCTTGAGGGACAAGTCTGGATTGATTTTTGTTTCTTGGCTACCCATATATTCTCAGAATCTCCTCCAACCCAAAATTTCAAACGCATCAATAGTCTTTCTATCAAACTTCTTCAAAGCCCCACTTTGCTTCTATACAGTCTCACAGGCAAAATAGTTGCTTGTGCAAGTCTTTGTACGTATAGACAGATAACAGCATCTGAATATCATTTTATTTTTTCATACCAAGCATTAGTGTGTATTGGTTTGGTACTACTTCTTTCACTCTTAACAGTCCATCCAAAAGAGCAAAAACTAACTACCACTTCAGTACCTTCGTTGTCAAATATATCACTGGCTGCTGTACCTGTTATTTGTTTTTCTTAAGATTAAATATAATCTTATACCCATGTTTACACTGCGCTCAGCTTCTATTACAAGAGCCTGGAATCAGAGGAGAATCATTAGCTATAGCACACAGGTTATTGATGTTTCCTCCTCCAATTTTAAAATCATATTCATCTTCTTGCAATCAGAGAATATAGGCTGAATGAATGGGTGAATGAAATGTTAAATAAGGAGAGAATATACGGAATTTTTTCATTCCAACACAATCCATATTGTCAGGCACAAATGACCAGATCTACAGAGTTCAAGGTAATTAACAGAATAACAGAGTTGGAAGGGACCTTGGAGGCCTTCTAGTCCAACCCCCTGCTCAGGCAGGAAACTATACTATTTCAGACAAATGGTTGGTCCAATCTCTTCTTTAAAACTTCCAGTATTGGAGCATTCACAATTTCTGAGACAAGTTGTTCCACTGATTAATTGTTCTGTCAGGAATTTTCTCTTTAATTCTAGTTGCTTCTCTCCTTCATGAGTTTCCATCCATTGCTTCCTGACCTGCCTTCAGGTGCTTTGGGGAATAGCTTGATTTCCTTTTCTTTGTGGCAACCCCTTAGATACTGGAACACTGCTATCATGTCATGCCTAGTCCTTCTTTCATTAAGCTATAGATACTAAATTTCAGCAACCCTTCTTTATAAGGTTTAGCCTCCAGTCCCATAATCATCTTTGTTGATCTTCTCTGCACTCTGAATGCAGTATTCCAAATGTGGTCTTACAATGGCGATATAAAGTGGTTTTAATATGTCAAGTGATCTTGATCCTATCCCTCTGTTAATGCAGCCTAGGGTTGGGTTGGCTTTTTTGGCAGCTGCAGCACATTGTTGGCTCATATTTAAGTGATTGTCTACTGGGACTCCAAGATCCCTCTTACGGTTACTATTACTGATCCACCTTATACTATATCTGTGCATTTTTCTTGACTAATTGTAGAACCTAACTTTTTTCACCATTGAATTTCATTCTGTTACGGAGTGCCCAATGTTCAAGTCTTTCAACATTCTTCTGAATCTTAAGTTTATCTTCTGCCACCTTGGTGTCATCTGCAAATTTGATAAGTTCCCCATCTAGCCCCTAATCCACATGTCCTTTCTCCAATATTATGATACAGCTAAAAAGTGTGTTGTAGTAGTTAAATTAGCAATCGGTTTGTTTCAACCTGGCACCATCTGAGCATGTTGGACAATAACTTTATTCCCAGTCAGCACAGGCTAGTTAGGAACTAGGGAACCCTGCTTTAACACATTGGAATGGTGCCAGGTTGGAAAACAATGGTCTCTTCTGTTCTTGTAGAAAGAAAATAATTTGCAGGAATCAAAACATGTACAGTGTGATGGCCCATGCTATCAGCCGTATTCCCATGTATAGATAAGTATTATGTGGTAGAAAAGGGGGCTTCCCTAAATATTTGAAGCCGTTTCATCCTTAAATGGCTCATCTTCTAATAATACTTCAATATCCTTCTGTCTCTCCATGCACCAATAGTTTTTGAAATAGCCCTGGAAGCGATTATATTTTATTTTTGCCTAAACAAAGGCTGTGAGGCTGAGAAACAAACAACAGCACAGGAAATGGGAAAGAAGAGTATATAACTGATTTAAAAGTTCCAAAGTACAGAACTGGAAAACAACTATACGAAATTTTTATTATGCGTGTCAAGCAAGTTCAAGAATTCTACACACACACAAATGGTAAAATTTGGTTTCCATATGGCAGATTTGTGTATATGTTACAGAAAGGAAACATGACTCACACTGATCCATAAGCACAAATCCTTTTAAATGAAAAAAAAAAGTCATAGTTTAACCTTTTTATGAGTGAAATTGCTATTTCAGTGGATCACCTCCTGATTAATATCTACATAAAATCTGGCTGAAGCAATCTGATATCTTGGAAAACAAAAATATTTTGTGGACGGGAATAAATATATCAAATATGTTTTCTTCTAGAATGTAACCATTTTGTTTCTTCAAAATGGATAATGACATATAAATTGAAAAGGCTTTCTTATAATGTCTGTCCACTATATGTTGATAAACTTGTTTCTCTCAATAATTTAATTCTCCCATTCATATTATCACTTCCAATTTCCATAGATTTTTAAACAAAAGTTTTGACTTAAATTTATTATTCAAAATCTTTTAATATGAACATATCAGATTTTTTTTAAAAAAATAAATGATAGTTTGCCTTCTACAATGCAGCAATCCAAACAGAATAACAGCTCTGATATTTAAAAAAACAAGCATTTCTATTGATGCATGATTTGGTATCTAAAAACATGTACTTTTAACATGTGATGGTATAAATTTCTTTTGGCAATGTATTAAAAATTAATATCTACAGAACCTTATCCTTATTTTATCTTGACTAAATACAATATTTTCACTAAATCATTTCTATTAGACATGAATGCAAATGTACATGAATCATTCTTTTTTTCATCTCCTAAGA